AATCTGTAACAGAATATTGGTGTATGGCTGATGAGTCACAATTATCTATTTCCTAATTTCCTCTGTAAAATAAAGGTTGTGAATGGCTAATAATGATAATCAGTATATGAAAACAGTACTAGAAACAATAAGAGCAAAGGGAAACAACTTTGTACACAAAGAATGCGAGGAAAATAGCATGTGTTTCACATGGAAAGTATGCAAAGAATGTAGATTTGTTTTTGTTAAGGAAAGGATAGTAATTTTATCCCAAAATTACATTTTCAAAAAAGGGAAAGTACAGGACAAGAACCTGAATGGATGTAGGTAGTTGTAGGTAAAAGGAATTTTATGTTGCGAGGTCAAAGCTGGCTAAGACTAAATGGATTTATATATAAAGTTTTTGAAATGAGCTTCATTATCAATAACATACTAATGCAAAACTGGAGTTTGGTTTTCTCTCGGCTAAACAACAAAGCTTCTTGGATTACTGCTCTGCTTTTAACAAGAGATTACGAAAGGTTTGTCTTTACTCTTTGAGTAATCTTTAGCAACCTTCACCTTTTGTGGAAACAAAGATTCTGTATTATCAAAATAGTTTGTGTTTCATGTTGTCATTACCATGTCCTTGATTACATAAGAGAATCTAGTCTTCCCACTGTCAAAAGAGCCATTTTTTTTTAAAGAATCATGTTTTCTCCTATATTTACTTATGAATTCTTTTATTGTCACTTAGGTTAAGTAAATAACCAAAATTTTTTTTCAAAGTGACCTGGGATCCTATTTGTTAAGTGTTCAAACCTTTCAATATTTTTGACAACTCTGCCTTCTCCAAATTAAAACCTAAATGAAGTATCTTCTTGATTTCAGACTGCCTTTGGGATTTCCCAGAGGGTCTCTGGAAGATCTCAAAGGGTTTGTTCTTTCACCTTGTAAAAGAGAGGAGTTAAACTAATTAGTTTTAACTGACATGTTGAATTTCACGAAAACCATTGTCAAATAAGCCATGCTGCCTAACCTTCCAAAAGTTGTATTTGTATCATTCCCGTTAGTATTTTATTATTTTTTAAAGATTTTGAGAGAGAGAGCTCACTCGCATGAGAGTGAGCATGAGTAGGGGGAGGGGCAGAGGGAGATGTAGACTTCCCGCTAAGCACAGAGCCAGATGACCTTCGGAAAATGACCCATGCCCAAGGCAGATATTAATTGACCAAACCACCCAGGCACCTCACCAGTTAATATTTTAAGTGGTGTGTATGTTATAGAAACAACTGTTTCCTTGTCAATTGTGTTATTTTTATAGGGGACTCCCACCAAATCTTTAACCCCTGGCAGTCTTTGTCACCCACAGATAGTGTTTGTTTCTCTCTGATTCTTCTCCAAAAGCAATTTGCAATCAGCTACAGGCCAGAGTGCTTTGTCAACAGAAAGGGACTGTCTCTGAAACCCAGGGGAAGGGCTATGACAGGTGTCTGGTGTACAGATTTCCAAAGGCCTTGTTTCAATAACTCTGAGACCATATCATGGGACTGAGTAAGGTGCTCCAGAACTCTAGTGGAGAAACCAATGCGCTCGCAAAACTAACTGAACAGGAAAAAAATCAACTACACGGAACGGAGTGAAATGATAAAAGATTATTATAATTTTATATGGCTTTTGTCTGGAATATTCTTGGCTGGTTAGTGTTCTATTTTCTGGATATTAAAAAGAACACACATACACTCTTTTTTCTCTTAAACTATCTATGAGTCATACAACTCTAGCAAGTTATACTTTTGTAAATGAAATTGAAGCATTTATCTTCCTCTCCCTGTTTGATTCCTCTAAAAATTGGAAACTATTGTTGAGTATTCTTGGCAATACTTGAATTTTCATGGCAATATAGTTATCTGTATAGGTTCGATAAGAATCTGCTCTCTTTGCAATAGGACATAATTTTAAAACGTTGGTTATATAACCAAGGAACGTCATACTTGAAAATGATGCATGGAATCAGACATGACCAGACAGACAGTTTGGAGGAACTGCAATAGACTTTACAAGGAGCAATGATTACAAAGCCCTCTTGAAAAAACCAGCCTGGTACTTGGCTTACACAGGTTCCCAGTCTTTTATAGGTGAGTAAGGAAGGTCACATCCTGGCAGAGCCAGGAACCCTGATATTTGGGGGACCCTGAGAAGGGAGGCATTCACCCAAATCTATAAGTGAATAATGACGGCAAATTCTTGCTTTGGCTTCTTAGCCTTAAAAGGCTTTTAAATTTTTAATCTGAGATTCCCCATAAAAAGTTCCATGAGATAAATTTAACAAGGCCTTTGTGGTCAATTGCCATTTTTGCTGCACTTCTGTAAATAAACAGGCCAAATTTAATGAGACCAGAATTATTTTGTAAACAAGAATAATCTTCCTTTGATTATCTTTTTTTAAAAAAAGATTTATTTGAGAGTGTGTCAGTGGGCATGAGGGGGGGGGGAGCAGAGGAAGAGATGGAGAGAAAGAGGGTGGGGAGAGTGAGAGCTGTTGAGTATTGAGCCTGGCGGCAGATTCAATCCCATGACTCTGAGATCATGACCTGAGCAAACATTCAGAGTTGGACTTTTAACTGTCTGAGCCACTCAGGCATCCCTTACTTTGGTTATCTTTGATCAAAAAGGGAAATGGCTCTAGAGGGAAATGTTGTGTCTCAATGGGGGAAAATAATATACTGATGCCAATCCTGTTTACTGTGTCTGAGGTCTTCCTATACTACCTGTAACCGGGACTGCAGTCCTGCTGTCTCACACATTTTGTCAGCCCTTACCAAACCCTCAGTTTCCTTCAGTATTTGGTCATTGCTCTCCAAATTGATGTTTTCCAATTTTTCCTCTTTCCCTCTTGATTTGGCATCACTGAGGACTAAAACCTGACTACCCAGGGCCTTCCTGGGACCCGGACGTCTTTTGCTGCCCCCTTTTCTCCAGGAACTGAAAAAGGACTGCATGTGGAAACACGCATACAACTTGACATAACCTTCAGAGAGCTCGTCACCACAACAGATTGTGTGTGCCTGCTTCCATTTCTGGAGCTGCAGCTGCATGGGCCACTCAAAAAGTCCACGGGAGCTCCTGTATCTTCCATGCTCTGTTTGGGAAAACAACCCTGACTGTGACACTGATGTCTATACTATCACCACAAACACTCAAACTACAAACTGGGAAATCTACTGGATTGCCACGACGGTCCTCATTCCACAATCTAGAGATGTTTACGAGTCAATGTCTAAAGTCGTCCCAACTGGCCACTCCTCAGAATTAAAAACCAGGTTTACATTCAGTTCTGACCATCAATCTCTGCTTTTCTTTCTGTTTCCATAGAAATGTCCCTCAGTAAATCCCTGATCACTGGCATCATCCAGCAAATATCCTCTACTACCAAATCCCAACAGATGGTTCAACAAAAGGGTATCAAATGGGAAACAGGCTTATCAGCAGAAAGAACATATCTTCTTTCCTTCAACAAGAGGGAGGCCTGCCAAAGACTCTCCCCTTGACCAAACTCTATCCAGGATCCTCCGAACCTTCAGAATTCTCAATCAGGCCTCAACCTTGGCTTATAAAGATTTGAACAAACACTACATAGTGTCTAACAGCCCAAGACTGCATCCTCAGCTCCCTTAAGGCATATGACAGAGAAACTCAAGGCTTCCAAAAGAAGTGTCTGTGTCAGTCACCACCTGAGGATCCGTAGAAGCAGGGAAGCCTAACTTCCACAAGCATCACTTAGCACTGTCCAGATGGATGTCACACAGGCTGCTGCCTCTTCCCACTTCTTGTAATCTCTCACTTCCTTGTTTACTCAAGTCCCGCTGTTCCCATCCCCCCCCCCACATGCACTCTCCCTTTAAAAGGCCCAGAGCCTCTGAACAAATCTGAATGGACCTCAGCTGTTTCCCCTTCTGTCGATAAATACCGAATAAAGCCTGTCCTCACCACTGTAACTAGCGTCCAGCTGTGTTCATCTATGGCCACCCTCTCCTCACCAGGCCTGGCACTGCTCCAGAGGGCTTCTGGGAGTTGGGAGGCAGCAGGCAGCCGGGAAAGCTCAGCCCCAAGCAATAGCTCAAGAAAAGTTCCTGACTTATAACCTGAAAGGCTGGTATGTCAGGTCCGTTCTGGGGTAACTTCCTTTTTCTCAACATTCTCATGTGGGGATGAGGCCACACCACCCAAAGACCAGTCCTTTGGGGTGTTGGGCTCTTGTCATTTCCTTTCTGGTGTGGCAGCCATTCCCCCTGAACGGAAAAATCCTAGGGGAACCCCAAGGCCTCCAGGGAAAAACTTGTTGGAAAGATTACTGAGCCTTTCTGGGCCTGGACGCCCACAATTCTCCCACTCCCAAGGATCTGATCCCTGCCTCCCTTGGTGAGTCAGGCCCTGACTCCCAAAGCCCATCAAGTCAAGGCCCTCCTCCAGAGGCAGGCCCCACCTTGGAGTATGGATCCCTACAAGAGGCTGGATCCCCTATCCCCACCCTGGATCTTCCCTCCAACACAGATCTTCCCCTCCCTCAACCCAGTCTGGTATCCTAGCCCCTTCTTTTCTGCCCACAGACTCCCACCCAAGGTCAGATCCTTTCACACGGATTTTAATTTCCCATCTCGCACCCAGAGCTCCTCACCGCAGGACAGATCCCAAGATCCCCCATCCCAGATCAGACCCCCCCGCCCAGGTCCACAGACCCCCGCCCAGGGTCAGACCCATTCCTGGTCAGGAGACCACCACCGCGGATCAGATCCACCCTAGGTCCGCAGACCCCGCCCCGGATCAGACCCGCCCCAGATCAGACCTGCCCGGGTCCAGAGACGCCCCCCACCCCGGGTCAGACACCCCGCGGGCCCGCAGACCCTCACCCGGGGTCAGACCTGCTCCGGGTCCGCACACCCCGCCCCGGCCCGCGCCCCCCGCCCCCCGCGCTCCCGCCGACCCCCGCCGGGGCCCCCGCCCCCGCCCCCGCCCCCGGCCGCAGCCGCGCCTCCCCTCACCTCGCCTGGAGGCGTCCCGGGCGGGCGGCGGCGGCGCAGGCAGCGCGGAGGGCAGCCCCGGACGCCCTGAGGCCCGGCTCCGCGATGGCGGCGATGGCGGCTGCGCTGCGCGGGCCCGGCGGGCGCTTCCGGTGGCGGCCTCGGGCGGCGGCCGGCGGGGCCCGGGGCGCGGCAGGTACCGCGGCGGGAGGGGCGCGGCGGGGGCCACACGCAGCAGGTGCTCAACGCGTGCCCGCACGGCCAGTCCCCGGGGAGGCGGGGCTGCGCGGGCGCCCGGGGCCGGGGCAGTGCCCGCTGGCCCTGCTGGAGCCACCGACGGGCACCGACCGGGCCGGGCCGGGCCGGGCCGGGCCCCGCGACAGCAGGCCCGCGGCGGTGATGCGAGGCGCCGGAGCAGGGCCCGGGTCCGCCCCGCAGGACGGGCCCCCCAGAGCGAGCCCGGGGGGGGGGGGCGCCCGCCTGTGAGCGCGCACGCGCACTCCCCGCTGCACCCTGCGGGTCTCACCCACCCCCAGACCTTGCCCCTGGACCGCTGCGCCTGGGGGACAAGGGTTGAGGCCCCCGAGCCAGGGACGGATGAGGCCTTCTTCCCGGAGATGGTGACTGCGGGAGAAGGGGCCGGCGCCTGGCCCGCAGTGGATGGAGCCGACCGCGGACACGGAAGGCCCGTGGCCGAGGCTGAGTGCTGCTGTGGCGTGGGGAGCCTGGGGCCTGCAGAGCCCCGGGAGGTGGGCAGAGAGGTGCCCTGAGGGGGGCTTTGCTGACCCCCGGGACCTTGGCCAGGGCACCCAGTCAGCGTTCTTGCTGCAGGAGTCAGGGGGCCGTTGGTGAGGATCAATGCAGCTGTGCAGTGGGGCCCTCAGCCCACCTGTCGCAAGGAAAAGATGTAGAAAGGGGAGCTGCCACTGCCGTCACAAGTCCAGGGCCCTGCCGGCCACATAACCTGGGCCTTGTGGCAGAGCAGAACGGCCTTGGGGTGCAGCTTTTCGTGTCCAGCTGGGCAATACCAAAGATCCTGCCCCCACAGTCCTCCAGCAGCGAGGGGAAGGAAGCCCCAGACTAGAGCTTACTTAGCTGCAGTGGCGGGGGGCTGGCAGGCCAGGGCACAGGGCCAACCCCCCACAAGGAGGCCCAGAGCTCTTACATCTGAGCCCAGCTTTTCATCTGAGAGCAGGAAGGTACCTGCCCCGTCCCAGCCCTGGGGGTGGCCTACTCAGTAATATAGCAGAATGACACTATTGCTGGTGTCCCCTGTTCCCTAATACCTGCTACCAGGAAAGAATGCCCAGTGGGGAGGATCAGACAAGGGGATTCCCAAGGTGGCTCCCTGAGGTGACTAGTGTGCCCCTGGACACACAGGAAAGCCTCTGCTTGCCCTCCCAGGGCAGTGCACCATTCACTTAGCCTCACCACACTTGCTGGATGCCAGGCCCCCAGTTCAGACAGGACCTGAAAATAAAAGGACAGTGGGCTCAGAGTGAAGAGAAGACAGCCCCTTTCGGGACTGAGCCCTGAACCCACGGTGGGAAAGGTGAGGCCAGAAGGCTGCACCAGGCACTGGAGTGCACAGGTGTGTGCCCAGGTAACCCCTGCAGAGCAGCGCCCACCTCATCTGCCTTGCTGGTGCTTGAGGCGGGGTACTCTTCCCCGTGTTTACTGGATGGTTCGTGCTGCTGGGTACGCGCCGCAGGCGGGGAAAACAAACCCACAAAGATAAGCTCACAGTCCACGTGGCCAGTTGCTCGCCCTGCCTGATAGCAGGCGGAGGGGACGCAGTGTGGAGCTGAGGACACCGGGAACTAGCGGGGACCCTGCTCGGTCAGCCGAAGGACCGGCAGCAGCACCTGCAATGGAAGGTAGGGGCACTGGCCTGGGCAAAGCTTCTTCACGTCCCTGCTCCCCCACCCCGGGGCAGCTGCAAGGGAGAGGTACTGTGCTCCCGGCAGGTTGTGCTCCTGGGGCCCAGCAGCCGCTCCTCTCCAACCAACAGTCTGTCTTCGGTTCTTTGGGCTCATGTCAAAGCCACCAGAATCACTGACAAAGCTGAGGTCTCTTCAGAGCCCTGAGTTGAATTTGGAATTGGGTCCCCTTTGGACTGGCTCTTTGAACCAAGCTGTGACTCCCTTGGATCCCGTGTTTGCCTGTACACACATCTCAGGTGTCCTCAGATGCTGCCTGCAGGGCAGAAGTTGGGGTGGGCCCAGCCTTGGGGTGGGCGCCGTGGAGCCTCTCCCCGGAGAGGAGCCCCGGATGCAGCTCCTGGGGGGGCTCCCCTAGCCTTGTCACCTGCAAACCAGGGCCTCCTCTAGGCTGGAGTTCCTGTGTCCTGGCAGGGGTACAGGCTCTGGACCCCGGTCTGCACGGCACCTACAGAGCTGAGGTCCCTGAGGGACGCAGGACACACCCTTGCCGCCAGGAAAAGGTCCAGGTGGGCACAAAAGCAGATACAGTTGTTTTCACTTCTCAGGCTCCTGTGTGGTGTGGGGGCAGCTCTCTGGCCTTGGGTAGCAGACCCTGATTTGATCACAGGCCTGGGTGCTTTGCCCGGGAGAATGGTCATCTCTAGGCACACTGGCCACAGTCCACACACGCTCTCCCTCCCTACATACTGATGGTGTTCTAGGATTTCTTCCTTTCCCTACAGGGAGTGGGCCAGTGCTTGGTGCTGGGTATCTTGGGCCTGGGCCCCAGGTCAGAGCTCTGACCGGCTGGCCTCACCTAAGGACACATTTGCCCCTCACCTCCCCCCCCTTCCTCACCCCCTCCCCCTTTCTGGCTGTTCCTTGCTTGCCTATCCTGGCAGCATTGTGCAGAAGAACAAAAGGTAACTGTTCAAACGGAAAGACAGGGACACCTGGATGGCTCAGCGGTTGAGTGTTTGCCTTTGGCCCAGGGCGTGATCCCGGGATGCAGGATCAAGTCCCACATCGGGCTCCTTGAGGAGAGCCTGTTTCTCCCTCTATGTCTCTGCCTCTCTCTCTCTGTGTGTCTCTCATGAATAAATAAAATATTAAAAAAACAAAAAACAAAAAACGGAAAGGCAGACTTAGGAAAAGTGTTTTAATCCTATGTCTGGCTTAGAACATTCAGTGAAGTTTAAGTTCAGAGCAGTGTCGCCAGTTCAATTACCTTCTTCTTGACCTAACTGTTGCTGCGAAGGTGATTATGCGCCCTTGGCCAACCTCACCTGCAATTGCTTAATTTCGGGATTTGCCTTCTGCCCCGATGTACGATGTTCTATCACTCCGGACCATCACGGGGCCGCGGCTTTGATCCCATGTGACCTTTAATTGAACAGAGCTGCTTGCCTTTGGAAATCATGTCATCTTGCGGAATTCGTGCCCCAGCTTTAACCTGGCCCTTCCTCTCACCCCTTTCCCCAGCAGGACAGCAGAACTATGATCTTCTGGTGATTGGCGGGGGATCTGGCGGCCTGGCCTGTGCCAAGGAAGGTATGTGTCCTCTGCCCTGCGTCCTGCCAGCATGGCAGGACCTCCAAGTGTTCAGGGCCCCTGGAGAAGGCTGTGTTGTTCTCGAAGCTGGGTGGAGGAGATTTGCCCTGAGTAGCTGTGCACAGCGTGTATTATCTCTGTAGCTGGCCCGCTGGCCTCTGGGGTCCTGCATCCTGCCAGGGTCCCCCCAGGAGCCTTGTCAGTATGCCCTGCTCCCTGCCATTCCCTGGTTGTCTGTGCAGCACTCAGTGGCCAGGATGATACCCCAGGCCTTAGCCTGCCCTCCTGGGCCCCAGCCCCGGGCCTCCTGGGATCTGACATGTCTCCCTGAACCCATGCCCTTGCCCCTGCCCTGGCCACCTTGCTGTTGTGCAGATGCTTCCTAAAGATCTTTCCTGCCTTGCTCCTCCCCCTGGCTGCCTGCCCAGCCTGGCTTCCTCTTTGCCTCCTTGGTTAGCTCCAGGGTTCACTCACCTTCCTTTGGCCTTCCCTGTCAAGATCACCCTACTTGGAATGGCAGCCTCCTCTGTGCCTCGTCCCTGTCCCCAGCTCCACTGTCCTCATTCTTAGCCCTGGCACATCCTGCAGAGATCACAATTTGTTCTGCTGTATGTGTCTTTCTCTCCTCAGCCTGGCACCCAGATGGGCCTGGGTACCCTGGGGGGTGGGGGTGTACCATATGTTCAATGAAAGGGTCTGGCCCCAGAGGCATCCAGAGATCTCGTGTTGCAGTTTGCCACTGATCTGGGTGGGGAACAGACCCAGCATATCACTGGGAGCTCTGCACTCTGCTGTGGGAGTGCCCGGCGGCCTGCTTGCCCATCCAAATGATAAGGAGGCAGATGTGGGTGAGGGAGGGGGGGAAGACAAGAGAGAAATGGAGCCCCAAACAAGAGGGATTAGGCACTCTGACCATGGAATTCTGGCTCTCTGACAACAGATCCTGATTATGTTTTGTTTTTTAATTTTTTTTTCTGTTTCTTTCATTTATTTATTTGGTTGGGGGCGCACAAGTAGGGGTAGTAGCAGGAAGAGGGAGAAGCAGGCTCCTCACTAAGCAGGGAGCCCGATGCGATGTGGGGCTTAATCTCAAAACCCTGAGATCATGTCCTGAGTCAAAGGCAGCCGCTTAACCAATTGAGCCACCCAGGCGCCCCAGATCCTGGGTTTTAGAATCACAGTCGGCATTAAGGAAATTTGCTGTCAACTCCTCTTGTTCTGAGGGGCAGAGGACGCTGCTGGCCTGTGGTGGAGGGAGGAAGTCTCCCAGCTGATATGGGGGCCCATAGAGGGACACGAGTCCTCATCCCACCGGACCACAGAGCCACCCCAAGAAACAGGGTGTGTGGACAAGCCAGCCGTCCGGGCAATGGCCATTCTAGCAGAAGAAAGCCCTGGATGTCATGTCTACTCCAGTGCCTTATCTCTTAGAGACACATCTCTGTTAACCCTCAACAGTTCCCAGACCTGTCTTTGCCTTTTGTAACGGTGGCATCCTCCCTGTGGGTGATGGTGCTTTTCTACAGCATTATTGAGATATAATTGACATAAAACAAACCATATGTATTTAAAGTAGACAAGTTGATACGGCTTGACATAACACACCTGTGAAACCAAGTACCACGGTCAAGCTGGCAAACGTATCCATCACCCCAATGTTCACATGCTGGGGCTGCCATCCCAAAGAACCACAGACTGCATGGCTTAAATAGAATTCCCTCACGGTTCTAGAGGCTGCAAGTCTGAGATTAAGGTGCCAGCAGAGTTTTTTTCTGAGTCCTCTGTCCTTGGCTTGTAGATGGCCATCATTTCCAGTGTCTTCACATGGTCTTTCCTCTGTGTATCTGTGTCCTGATCTCATCTTTTTATATGCATACCAGTCAGATTGGAAGCCAATTAGCCAGCCTACATGGTCTCATTCTAATTTAATCACCTCCATAAAGACCCTGCCTTCAAATAAGGTCACATTCCGGAGTTCTGAGGGTTTGGGCTTCAGCATGAATTTGGAGGGGCATGACTCTGCTCAAACCTTCGGAACTCCTTCCTGCTCCCCCCTTCCCTGCCACATCCCCAGATGGCCAATGATCTGCTTTCTCTCACTGCAGATTAGTTTGCATTTTCTAAAATTTTGTATAAATGGAATCATGCAAGATGTATTTGGTGGCTTTTTTCATGTAGCCTAATTATTTTGAGATTCATCTATGAAGCTGTGTATATCCAGAGTTCATTCCCTTTGATTACTGATCAGTATTCTATTGTATGTCTACAACACATTTTGTTTGTCCATTCATCTGCAGGTGGACATTTGGGTTGTTTGCAGTTTGGGGCTATTATGAACGGTGCTGCTGTGAACATTTGTGTTTGCATCTTTGTGTGGATGTATGTTTTCAGTTCTCCATAAATGCCTAAGCATGGAGCAGCTAGGTCCTGTGGTATAGCTCTTTTTTGTGCATTTTTAAATTTATTTCCACAGTCTTATAGTTTTCAACATACAGCTTTTGTCAGATTTGACCCTGAGTGTTTTCTAATGGCGTTGGGATTAAGTGGTATACCATACTATTCATTCATGTAGCGTGCATGACTCAGTTGTTTTTCAAATACTCACAGAGTTGTACAATCATCACCACATCAGTCGTAGAAATTCTAATCATCACCCCCCAAAACTACTCTGGACCCATTAGCAGCCACTCCTCAGCTCCTCCACCCCTCAGCCCCAGGCAACCACTAATCTGCTTTCTGTTTCTATGGAGTTGCCTGTTCTGGACATTTCATACGAATATGTGGTCCTTTGTCTTAGCGTGCTATTTTCAGGGTTCATCCACGCATACGCTAGTACTGTATTCCTTTTAGTGCCTGAATATCATTCTATTGCATGGACAGACCACGTTTTGTTATTCATTTGACCATTGATGGACATTTGGTTGTTTCCACTTTTTGGCTGTGGTGCATAATGCTGCTGGGAACATTGTGCACAAGTATTTGTGTGGACATGTCTTCATTTCTCTCGGGCCATCTAAGAGTGGAATTGCTGAGTGGTACGGCTTCACCTTTTGGGGAACTGCCAGACTGTCTTCCAAAGTGGCTGCATCATTTTATATTCCTGCCAGCACTGTTGGAGGGTTCAGATTTCTCCCCATCCTCGCCAGCATTTCTTGTCCTTTTTTTACTACAGTCATTCTAAGTAGGGGTCAAGTGCTATTTCCCTGTGGTTGATGTTTTCCTAATGATTTTTTCTTAAGATTTTATGTATTTATTCATGAGAGACACACACACAGAAAGAGAGAGGCAGAGACACAGGCAGAGGGAGAAACAGGCTCCCTGTGGGGAGCCCAATGTGGGACTCGATCCCGAGACCCCAGGATCACATCCTGCGCCAAAGGCAGATGCTCAACCACTGAGCCACCCAGGCATCCTGTAGTCTGTCCTTCTAGACACTTTGAACTTTCCCTTGCTGGTCTCCGGATATTTTTAGGTTCTTAGGTGCATTTTTGAGCATGTTCTTGGATGTAAGGAAGAGAATTTGATTCTTTTGCATCTTCCACTTAAGATTTGTTCAGTGGCCCAATCATTCTAGTGACTGGGCTCTGACCTTAATACTTACCCAGCAGCCCAGAATTATGTGTTTTCTCCAGTCTGGGTTCTGGAAACAGGCACTATTCTCAGCCCTGTGTGAGCACTGTCTCCTCTAGTCTTTCTGGATGGTTCTTTTCTGGCTTCATTGATCAGCTGTCTGGGGTTCTGTGCAGCTCTCTCCTCTGTCCCAGGAGCTCTGGCTGCTTCAGTCTCCCCAGGCTCCCAGCCCTCTCCTCAGCCAGGGAGTCCAGTGATCTCTGCCTGGGCCTCCTCGCCGGGCCTTCTCGCCGGATCACCTCGTTTATTTCCTATCTTCCAAGAATCACTCTCCTTGGTCTTCTGATGTTCGGTTTCTTGAAAGCATTATTATATGTATTTCCTCTGGATTTTTGGTTGCCTCGAATGTGAGGATAAATCCAGTCCCTGTTGCTCCATCATGCTCAGCTGTGGGAGACATGCTGGCATGTTTGAAGAGTCTCTGTGGCTGGAATTTTTAAAACAAGCACTGCAGTCCCATCGTTGGTCAGTTGAACAAAATGGGTTTTTACATGAAGGCTTCTAAAACTTTGTTCTATTCTTGGTCAATACCATGAACTGAGTGCATTCTGTAGTATGTCAGACACTTGTAGGTGATGATGTTTAAGTTGGGCATGCCCACTGGGACCATCAGGTCCAGAGCCCAGGTTGGCAGTGCAGTTCCCCAGGCAAGCCAAGGGGAAGCCCCATGATTAGCCCTGGCTAATGGTGATGGGGTCAGAACCTGGGGCTCGTGGCCCTGGGAGGAACCTGCTGCCAGCCAGTGGGGGAAGCCAGGAGACTCCAGGCAGGGGATGAGTTTGGAGACCAGGTCTCCCTGCCTCTTTGGGGGCTGGCTGACCCTGGACCTGCCATTTGACTTCAGAACTTCTGTTTCCTCACCCTGAGAATGAGGCAGTAAATACCCACAAGAGCAGACCTTGAGTAGAAGCTCCCACTGATGTCCGGTGGGGAAGAGTGGAGGCAAGTGAGTCCACAGGGACGGCTTGGGGAGAGAGCCAGGGGAAGCTCCGAGTCTGGAGCCTCTCCCTGGGGGTAGGTGCTCCTGTGATGCCTCCTTGTATGCTCCAGGTGGGCGCTGGGTTCATGCTGAATGTCTGGGCTAGAACCACGTGCGTTAGGAGGCAAGGGAAGGCTGGACCAGGGCTGCTGTGGTTGGCGTCCCGCTCTGTGGGGGTCCTGGCTATGTGGTGGGTGGTATGAAGCTGCAGTCCAAAAGATGCCCAAAGGCTTCCACCTGTGGGCAGCACAGCTGTATGCAGCAGACAGGTGAGGAGAGCTGGCTGCAGAGCTGGTGGGCAGCTCCCTTCCTTTTTGACCAAAGCAGCTCCCCACCTGCCCACTCCTCTTGTCGTTCCAGCTGCTCAGCTGGGAAAGAAGGTGGCTGTCGTAGACTACGTGGAGCCTTCCCCCCGAGGTGGGTAGCCCTGGATGGAAACCATATGTCCTGGGGAAGTGGAAGGATGGGGGCCTGGTTCACCTGGGGTGGGTGCAGCTGCACCCAGAATCACTCACCCACTGCTGGCCAGGGTCTCTGGAGAGTGTCCTCCTTCTCGGGTCAGCTGCCATTACCGTAAAGTTCTTTATTCTTATTTAAAGACAATTCTGACAACAGTTATAGAGAGTGAATTCATGGGGCAGGTTCATCCGGAGCGTGTTTGGAGTTATAAACAACAGCTTAAAGGAATCTTACACAACTGTAGAAGAATAGGAGAGCCTTCCAGTCTCCTGAGTAGAAATCTAAACCTGCTTTTCCCAACATGCCAGGTACTAAGTGGGGCCTCGGTGGCACATGCGTGAACGTTGGCTGCATCCCCAAGAAGCTGATGCACCAGGCAGCGCTGCTGGGGAGCATGATTCGAGACGCCCCCCACTACGGCTGGGATGTGGCCCAGCCGGTCCTGCATGACTGGTGAGGAGCCCTGCCCACTCCCAGCGCTTTCCTGCTCCTCATGGGGTGCTTGGGGGGCTGTTCACAGGAGCATGCTGTCAGACAGGAGCTCTCACCCGGGGGCAACCCCTTCCCCAACATTGATTAAAGTCTGGAGACATTTTTGGTTATCACCACTGGTTAGGGTGGAGGGCTGCTGCATCTACTAGGATGCTGCTAAAGGTCCTAAGACACACAGGACACCTGCACGAAGGAAGGTCTGGCCCAAAGGCCACTAGTCCGGGTGAGAAACCAATTTAGCTTCCACAGGTGGCACCTGGTCTGCTTTGAGCTGCACACAGGCCCCTCATGGTTCTCAGATGACCCAGACTCAGGGCCAGCTGCTGTGTCCTGACAGCCAAAGGCCCTCGGCCCCAGACCTGGGACAGAGGCAGGGGCCGTGGGGATAGATGTCACATTTTTTCACCTTTAAAATCACCTTGTTTCTTGGTATTTCTACTGACTTGCTATTTGCATCTGCTAGTCTGCTGTGTGACTCTATAGTTCATGCTTCTGTTGTGGTTTTTAACATTGCTTATGTGTTAACAGGAGGACGATGGCAGAAGCCGTGCAGAACCATGTGAAGTCCCTGAACTGGGGGCACCGGGTCCAGCTGCAGGATAGGTACTGAGGCCTTGCCAGGCCCTCCTGGCCCTCTCTGGGGACATTTCCTCTTTTGACAGGCACTTTCTCATCAGAGGTTCAGCAGTGATAAGACGAGAAGTCCCTGCCCATGGGGTGGGGCGTACACACGAGGAGCAGATGGGGCCTGGAATGGAAGGCTGCCCCACAGCTGGCACCTGCAGAGCCTGGAGTAGCGGGGAGTGAGAGGCGTGTTGGCAGGACAGCTGGGTCTGCACCAGGCAGGAGGCATGCTCGGGGCTGGGACCGGAGTGTGGGGGGCACGGAGAGGGCCATCCCCGGGGCCAGCACCTTCTTCGGGATAGGTGACCTTTCCCCTGTCAGGGTCAACCACAGTTAAGTGGAAGGAGCCCAGTGAGCCCCGTGGATGCCCTGGGAAGCCCACACCTCACCTCTCACCTCCAGGCTCCCACACCTCACCACCCACCTCCTGGTTCTCTGGGCCCCTGGTTTGGCCTGCTGAAGCAAGTGTCCAACATGATCATTCCAGCCTAACACTGCCAGGTCCCATTGCCCTTTGGGGTTCCCCCAGCCCAAACGCCGACACGTCTTCCCACCAAAGCAGCCTCCATGAAGAGCTACCACCAGAAGGAAAGGTGCCCCAAACTGCACGGGGCTCTAGCTAGGCTTTGCTCCTGGCCCTGTGGTTGTGCCCTTTGCTCGTGCAGGTCATGGGGGGGACAGAAGCTCCCATCTGAGCACTATTTGCTTGGCTCCAACGAGTCTTACTAGGCTGTACAGTAGGCAGCTGTTCTGTGCCTGTGAAACCCAGCACAGCTGAGCCGGGGAAGCTGGCCCACCTGCCCATCCTGGGTGTCCCCAGGGTTCCCCTACTTAGGGAGCTAGGCTGCATCCTGTTATTTTTCCCTGTGTGGGGGCCCCGTGGTCCCCAGCTCAGTCTGCTGGAAGCATAGGGCTCTGTCCTCCCTGCTGGCCCCAGGCAGCTCCCAGCTAAGTGCCCAGCAGACCTGATCTCCAGAGAGCTCTGGAGGTGCCCACAGAAGGAAGCCAGTGGGGAACTAGTGTCTGTGTCCTCTGGCTGTTGCTGGGCAATGGGGATGAATGAGGAATTCCTTCTTATGGCTCAGGCGGCATTTGGAGGCACAGGGCTTGATTGCGGGGCGGACGTAAAGTCGAGGAGGTGGTGAAGCCTTACCAAAGGCACCAAGAACCCACCACTGCAGAGTGGCCTTCGTTATTAGAAGGTGTGGGTTGTTTCTGCACACCCTGCTCCTGATCATCCTTGTGTCCTCATCGTACCTGTTTTCCAGCCTTGCTGTCCCCTAGAGGCAAGGAGCTATGTGTCTCTGGTGGGCACCCTCCCCTGTGAGCGGGAAGTTGGTCATTTGGGTGGTGGGGGTAACTGGGTGCATGTGGGGGCTTCTGCTCCCTGCTGGAATGTGCCCAGGTGACAAAGATGCACCCTGGGGAGGCCCAGCCACTCTGTCCTCACACACTGGGGCTGTGCTTGGGCTCCCGGGACCATCCTAAGCTGGCTCTGTCCCAGCGGCTCCAGGGACCCTTGGCCCTCCTCCCCCTCCACGTTTTCTGGCACCGCTTGCCCCACCTGAGTGCTGGGCAGGGCCCTGGCAGTGGGCCCGAGCTTGCCTTTTAGCGATCTGCTGCTTTGTTTAATCCTGTAGGTGACACTTGATCTACAGAGGAAATATTTGACCAACTTATTTTTATTTTGCAGGAAAGTCACGTACTTTAACGTCAAGGCCAGCTTTGTCAATGAGCACACAGTTTGCGGTGTTGCTAAAGGCGGGAAAGAGGTGAGTGCCCAGTTTCCCCGAGGGGCTCCTCTCGGGTAGTCCTGCCACCTCCAAGGACCCCACCGTTGTTCAGCCTCAGTGCTGTTCTCAGGAATAAGCACTGCTGGAACTGACTGCAGGTCTGTCTGAGGCTGCTTCTAATTCCTTATGGAGAATGAAATGAATCACTGAGACACACATTGTGCCAGGCTGCCTGCTGCAGCGGGCGGCCCAGCGGGTGATCATGCCCTTGTGGAGTTTTGCAGGGATAAAAGGAGATGAGACACCTGCAGGGGTGCTTGCAGTTTGAATGTCTCCCTGCTTCCTCTGCTGGATCTCCTCCTGGTTCGAGGACCCCTTGACAGGCTCCCAGCCCCGCAGGACCTCTGAACCACTGGCCACAGGTCCTTGCTGCAGGGCAGGAGCTATAATTCAAAAGCCTGGGTCTCTGCTGGGGGCCCTCTGTGTGGGTGGCCACAGTGCATTTGGGTGACTACGGCTTCCATGGTTTATTCTCAGACTCTGCTTTCGGCTGAGCACATCGTCATTGCTACTGGAGGGCGACCGAGGTACCCTACCCACGTGAGTGTCCCCTGCACCCAGCCTTCCCTTGCACCCCAGGCATGGCCACGGTCTCCCAGCTCCGGCTTCCCACACTAGTGGCACCCCCACTCTTTCTATTCTTAAGAAAAAGTTGTTTTCTGTATTCACTTCGGTCACTTGCTAATTCTCTCTCAACTCCGCTCTACGGAAGCAGGTCAGCAGGCACCCCCGCATTGCTGAATCCTAAGAGCAATGGTCCCCTTGCTCTTCAGGTCGCTCTGGGACACCCGACACCTGGTCTCTTTTATCTCTCTTTGCTGGCTCTTCCTTTTCTCCTCAGCCTCAAAGTATTGGAACGTCCAGGACTTAAGCCTCTTCTTTCTGCTCCCATCCCAAATCATGCTCTTAGTTGACTTAAAATTCTCATACCAGAAAGTGCGCCCTTTCAAAGGGTACAATTTGTGCCAAAATGACATCCTGTGCCGTTGATGGTCACTGCTGTTCCCTGCTCCACAGCCCCTGATGGCCACTGGTCTGCTTTCCATCTCTGTGGATTTGCCTGTTCTGGACACTTCACCTCAGTGGCTTCCTGCACTCAGAAGGGTGTCAGGATTCATCCACATGGTAGCCTGAGTCAGCGCTTCAATCCTTCTTATGTCTGCATAATGACCCATTGTGTGGCTAGACCATATTTTGTTTGTCTACTTGTCCTTTGATGGACATCCGAGTTGTTTCCGCTTTGAGCTGTTGTGAATGACACTGCTGTGAACGCCCATGTACAAGTTTTTCTGTGACCTCTGGTTTGCACTTCTCTTGGCTCCTTACCTAGAGACAGAGTTGATAGGTCCTAGGGCAACTTGGTTTTTAACCTTTTGAAGAACTAGCAGCCTGTTTTCCAAAACAGCTGTGCCATTTTATGTACATCCCCCCCCCCCGCCCCAACCCCCGTGTCCAATGATGTGTGAAGGTCATGAGATACTTTCCTGGTTCTTCACGTTTCATAAATTCTTCTGTTATGGAGAAATGAATATTTCAAATAAAGTAATGTGTTAACTCTGGAAGTCAGAATCTCTCTCCACTGCAGGATTTTGTTTATCGCTGTCATGTGTGAGGTGGTTCTCTGAACTGGTTTTGCAAAGTCTGCGTTCTTTGTCATGGGAGGCCACTGAAGTCTCTGCTCAGTTAGCATAGCGGCCTGCTAGTAACTAGACAGAGATTTCCTGAAACACCTGGAGAAATGGCCCAGTCTTTGTGGACGGCTTCTGTAGGCACTTGGGGCATGCTTTCAGCCAGACACAAGAAACTCTGCCTTCGCCCTCACTTCCTGCTGGTGCTGGGCCTCAGGGTCAGCCAGAGGTGAGAGCTCAGGCTGTCTCAGGCCTTTTCTGGGTGTGTGCACAACCTGGTGCCTCCGCCTGGTCTTTGAGGTCCCCAAGAATATGTGGGAGCTTCCCAAAGCCCCAGCGGACCGGTTATCCCTCGGCTTTTCCTTTTAAGCCCTCGGGTACCCTGTTGTTTGCTTCTGCTGTTGTCTGTTGCCTCGGGCAGCTGTGACATCAGTCACTCACTGGGCAGATCCTCCTCAGAGAGAGGCTTCTGGCCCTGGGCAAGATCAAGCAAGGTTGAAGATAAGCCTTTTGATTGAGGTCTTCTGAGGAAGCCCCAGCCAGGTCCATCTACAGCTGTTTCTTGGGAAGGAGCTTTGCAAAGGCTTGGGCTCCGGCTCCAGCTCTGCTCTGTCGGGATGTTATTTTAAGTCACTGCTCATTGTTCGAGGTCGCTGCTGGGCTGAGGGATGGGGCTGGAGTCCATTAAAACTCCACAAAACTGGGCAGCCTCAGTGCCCAGCAGTTTAGCACCGCCTTTGGCCCAGGGTGTGATCCTGGAGACCTGGGATCGAGTCCCACATTGGGCTCCCTTCATGGAGCCTGCTTCTCCCTCTGCCTGTGTCTCTGCCTCTCTCTCTCTCTCTCTCTCTCTGTGTGTGTGTCTGTCATGAATAAATTAATAAAATCTTTAAATAAAATAAAAATTAGGTCGATAATAAAAAAAAACTCCACAAAACTCCTTGTTCTTTTCTTTTAATTTTTTTATTTGGAGTTCAATTTGCCAACATATAGCATAACACCCAATGCTCATCCCGCCAAGTGCCCCCCCTCAGTGCCCATCACCCAGTCACCCCAATCCCCGCCCACTTCCCCCTCCACTACCCCTTGTTCATTTCCCAGAGTTAGGAGTCTCTCATGTTTTGTCACCCTCACTGATATTTTCACTCTTTTTCTCTCCCTTTATTACCCTTCACTAATTTTTATATTCCCCAAATGAATGAGACCATATAATGTTTGTCTTTTTCTGATTTTTTTTTAAAGATTATTTATTTATTTATTCATGAGAGACACAGAGACAGAGAGAGAGACTCCAGGATAACGCCCTGGGCTGAAGGCAGGTGCTAAACCACTGAGCCACCCGGAGATCCCCTGTCCTTTTCCAATTGACCCATTTCATTCAGCTTAATATCCTCCAGGTCCCTGCACATCGAAGCAAATGGTGGGTATTTGTCGTTTCTAATGGCTGAGGAATATTCCATTGCGTACATAGACCACATCTTCTTTATCCATTCATCTTCCGATGGACACCAAGGCTCCTTCCACAGTTTGACTATTGTGGACATTGCTGCTAGAAACATTGGGGTGCAGGTGTCCTGGCGTTTCACTGCACCTGTATCTTTGGGGTAAATCCCCAGCAGTGCAATTGCTGGGTCATAGGGCAGGTCTATTTTTACCTCTTTGAGGAGCCTCCACACAGTTTTCCAGAGTGGCTGCACCAGTTCACATTCCCACCAACAGTGTCAGAGGGTTCCCTTTTCTCCGCATCCTCTCCAACATTTGTGGTTTCCTGCCTTGTTAATGTTCCCCATTCTCACTGGTGTGAGGTGGTATCTCATTGTGTTTTTGATTTGTATCTCCCTGATGGCAAGTGATGCAGAGCATTTTCTCATGTGCATGTTGGCCATGTCTATGTCTTCCTCTGTGAGATTTCTCTTCATGTCTTTTGCCCATTTCATGATTGGATTGTTTGTTTCTTTGCTGTTGAGTTTAATAAGTTCTTTGGAAAACTCCCTGTTCTTATCAAGTTTCAGCCATTTTTCTTGACTAAATGTTCCCTGTGTTGCCACAAGCCTTTGGATAATTTCCAAAGTTCTCAAAAAAAGTTGAATCTGACTGTTTTTGCTAGTTGTCTGGCTGTTTTAACTCTGAGGGGTGGTCACTCTACTGTTTTTTTGCCAGCACCCCTTCCTGGCCCAGTCTCCCGTGAGGGCGCTTCTCTGTCCTCACTTCCACGAGGCAGGTGGAGCCGAGCAAGGGGCTCGGCTGAGGCTGCATCCTAGTGGGTCTCCCATGGGCTCTGGGAACCAGGTGGCACAAGCCCTGAGCCTCCAGGTGGGCTGCAGCGAAGTGCACGAGGCCCACAGACTCCCCTGCTTCTGCCTCCTAGTTAGACTGACAGAGCACCGCTGGAGCAGATGGAAGAAGAACAGGGGAGTGATTCTGTCTCTCCTCTGATGCCTAAACCCCAGGCCTCCACTTTCGGTTCTGTGCTTTCTCTGGAGACGGGGAGCAGAGGGGGCACGGAGGAAGTGCACACCTCCAGGCCTCAGGGGACCACCATGCCTACCTTCTGCTGTCAGGCCCGCAAGAGCAGCCTCCAGAGGGGACAGGTGGCTTGTGCACAGAGGTGGCCCTCGGGCAGGTTACATGGCTCTGTAGGGGGGCAGGTGCTAGAGGGAAGGTGGGTGACCATTAGTGACCCCTCCCAGTTAGCCAACCCCGCACTGGTTCTGCATAAAGACCCTGGATGCCACAGTCAGCTTCCAGGAGGTGGGTGGTCATCTTGGGCAGACATGTGCTTGCGTGGGTGCTGGGGTGCCCTGCAGAGGTAACAGGCCCGGCCCCACCCTGCTGGACTTGGACTTGGTGGCTGTCACAACTCCACCTGCCCAGAGAGGAAGGGAGCAGGAGCTCTCTGGCCCAGGGGGAGGCCCAGCAGCTGTCCTGCTCCCCACCCCCTCCCTGGGTGCCTGCCAAGACTCGCTTGTTTTAGTCCTTTTGATTTCCAGACCTTTCGGTTTTCTTTACACAAACCCGAGAAATTCCTGACTTTATTTTTATTGCCAGTTGGAATCATAAGCTGTTTGCGGTCCGCTTCCTCTCCACCAGCACATCTTACTCTTCATGCTCTCATGGGCCACTGAGAGGACGCTGGTCCTGTCTCCCCCACCTGCTCAGGCTCTGCTGGGACACAGAGAGTCCTTACAATTCCTCGGCTCCCTGGTGGGCCTTCAGCCTCATGCCCTTGGGCCCAGTCTGCACCTCCACACCCTGCCTCCCTCTGCTCCCCTCCCATCCTCCCCTCAGCCCAGGGTCTGGGTCAAGAGGAAGGCCCTGAAGGGCAAGGAGGAGAAAGCCACTGGCCATGCCCCAGCTCCCCAGCCACCTTGCACAGGTGAGGAGTGCTGGGCGCCTTGTGCAGGAGGTAGACAGCTCACCAAGTCGGCAGTAGCCTGGCCACCTGTCCCTAGCAGCCACAACCTGAAGAACAGTCTGTGGAGCAGGGAAGCATGCCCATGTTGGGGGCAGTTCTGGTTGAGTTGTGTCTTTAGGAGGGTCTCTGGGGACAGGCCAAGTGATCCTCTTCTCACATTGACCTTTTTTTTCTGGATAGATCGAAGGCGCCTTGGAATATGGAATTACAAGTGATGACATCTTCTGGCTGAAGGAATCTCCTGGAAAAACGTAAGACCCGATGTATGCTTTCACATTCCCCACTGCAGGCAACACACATTGGTCCTCTGTCTCGAGTGCATTCTTTCCTGCCTACTTGAAGGAAGGGAAGGGAGTGGGACTTGTACCCCTTTGGGCAGCTGTTGGCACACGGCAACCTGTGACTGTCTTGGAAGTGGTGCCACACGTCTAACAAAAGGGCAGTGGTTTTCAAACATGGGACCCACCGGAGCCCTGGGATGACAAAGTAAGGCCAGGTCCTCGGGGAAGGCCATTGGCCTCTCCGCAGGTCTGGTTTCAGCATCCTCTTCCTCTGGTTTGAACCTTGAGCTTCTCTGCAATGCCACAAAGCCTCCAGAGCTCTCAGAAACTGTCCCCAGGAAATGGGACGTGCAGTTTGTGAGTGGTTTTACGCCCCCTGAGCAGGTGATGATGCAATGAATGCATTTCCTGTGCCCACAGAGCAGGCTGGTGCGAGGTTCCAGGTCCAGCCAGGCCCTGTGAGTGGCGTCCGGGGGACTTCATGCTCGCAGGGGCCCGAAAGGCCACCAGAGGGCAGCAGAGGCTTGGCCATCAGCAGGTGCTCAGGGAGCCTGGGAACTTGTGTTTGAGAAAATACAGGTGGAAAAGTGTGCCAGGGCGGATGGCCATGTGTGCACCAGTGTACGTGCGGGGGAGTGTGTGTGGTCAGGCACGCGTGAGCTCTCCCCATCACTGTTTCCCACTTAGTGAGGCATCTGTGGTCGGGGTCAGGGCTGCATTCCCCTGAATGGATGTGCTGTAGTTTATCATTCCACGATTCACGAGCATTTCACTTGGCTCTTTTTGTCGTCGTTATGAAACGCTGCAGTGAAAACCTTTCGTGTGCATCGTATCTGCTGTCATATCGTTTCTTACGTGTTCTGTCCACCTGTCAGAGTGGTTTCCTACATGCAGAGAACCCAGGTACAGGGCTTCGCACGTCTTGCGAGCAGGTGCTCCCTCCTGGTGGGCTGCTCCCTGTTACAGATGCACTTGTGCTCACTCCCCTCTTCCTCCTAACCGGGTCATCGGCTTTCTCATGAGCTGTAAAACAGGAAGGAGCCTTTTCTGCTGCTTCTGGGGGGCGGGGGTGTGGAGGCAGTGAATGCCAGTTGTGTTTCTGCCCAAGGCATGTGTGGTCACTCCCAGTGGCTGTGGTCAGGCTCACGCAGGCCGGGGACCCTTTGCCTCTCATCTTCTGCGAGCTCCCCAGGCTGTGCTTTGTGTTTTTACTTAGTAATATTATTTCCTACAGAAGTCTGTAATTTTCACAGTGTTATGTTGATCACTTTTTTCCTTTATGCTGAAATTTTGGGGTTATCTTTTCTTTTATCTTTAGCTAGCTAGTGGGTTAAATGTGACCTGATTCTATTTGCACTTGTTATCATTAGTCATTGTTTCACATATTTACTAGTCACTTAAAACTTAGTGTGTCTGTGAATGTGTGTGTGTGTGTGTGTGTGTATGAGAGAGAGAGAGAGAGAGAATGTGTGTGTAAAAAAAAAAAGAATGTGTGTGTGTGTGTGTGTGTGTGTGTGTGTATTGTCAGCTTGGTCCATGGCCCACTTTCTATCTGGTTTTTCTTTTTTCTTATCTGTTCCTTATCTTCTAGCTGGTTCAAGTACTAGGGCTGTGATCCCATGCCATTTCTATTGCACATTTTCTTGGCTTGTCATGTTGTTTCACTTGCATGATGTACAAATGGTTTTTTGTTTTTTGTTTTTTTTTTTAAACCTACCTCAGATCTTTTTCTACACTTAATGGCTCTTAGATTTATTGCATGTTCAGGAAGGCCTGCTCCACCCCCAAGATTGTTTTTGAAAAAGAGCCCCTGTATTTTCCTTTAGGGCTTTCACAGGTCGGATTTTCCTTTGCATCCTTGGGGCCTTTGCAGTTCATCTTTGATGTGATGTGGTGTGGTGTGGCATGTGGCGTGGGGTGGGGTGTGGCATGGTGTGGCGTGGCATGGCATGTGGCATGGTATAGAGTGGTGAGGCACGGTGCGGCATGGCATGGTGGACTCCAGGCTACCAGGGTCCTGGGTTGCTGACCAGCCAGCCCGTCAAGCCAGTCTGAAAGTTCAGTCCCTGAGTGGAGTTCAGTCCTGCTCTGGCTTCTGACTCTGACTTCCCCGTATCACTGCCACAAGTGCCCAGCACTGGCTTCAGATCTTCTTAGTTCTCTTTTGCCCTGACTCCTGCAGGTAGAACATCGGCCGGCTTTGCCAGCCCCTCCATAGTGGTCTGCTGGCCCCGCGGTTCCAACAGCCCTGAATGTGCAGCGGCCTTGGAGGCCAGCTTGCTGCATGGTGCTCGTGTCCTGTCTGAGGCCACCTGTGCGCTTTGGTCATTGTAGCCTGTAACCAAAGGCCAGCATTTTCTGAATCCTGGTCTTTTGTCAAATTAGTAGCTATGTATTCGGTTCTCTTTGTTTGCTATTTTCCCATTACATATTTTTTGATGATTTTATTTATTTGAGAGAGAGAGAGAACATGAGTGGGGAGAGCAACAGAGACAGAGGAAGACACAGATTCCCGCTGAGCAGGGAGCCCCACATGGGACTTGATCTAAGGCCTGGGATCATGACCTCTACCAATCGACGGAGCCACCCAGGCGCCCCTTCCCATTATATTTTAAAAGCAGTGTCTCAGTGTCCAGGAAGGGGTCAGTTTCTAGCGATCGTCCCTGTAGCCACCGCTCACAGGAGGCCGGGTGTGTGGAGAGGCTGGCCCAGGCCATTGCTCAGGGCTGGACATGGCGGGAGGCCCAGGCGGGCTGGGCACCAGTGGTGAGTGAGGTGGCTGGGGACCCGGGCCCCTCCTCTGTGACTGTGTGCCAGGGCAGCAGCCTGCTCAGCTGGGAAGACACTGCCCCAGATATTTCAATCGGGAAAGAAAGTGCTGTGTTTATTTTCTTCAGAAAAAAAACATTTAGGAGATTTTTTTTTTTTTAAAAAAGCTCTTTCGTTTAAAAGGAATCTAGGTATGTTATTGTTTAAGAAAAAAAAGTGTTTGCAATGTATCAGTCACCCATTCCGTTCTGAGCATGATTTATGTGAGGAAATGGTTTTTTTTAAAAATTAAGCTGGAGATATATCCCTGTACGATGCTTCTGTGAAAATGCGGCTTTTGTCCGGTGCTGTTAATGCAAGTTGTAACAGTGTGATATGGGAGGCAGTGTTTACATGCTGCATTCCTCTGCTGCAGTCAAAATAAGCCCGGAGGGCCTACAGTAGCATTTCTGTATTTTATCAGCTTGGGCTGGGGCTGAGGGGGAGGCCTCCGCTCACACTTGGAGGGGCTGTTTCTGCCAGATTTATTTGCCTTATAAATATTCCCTGTGTTTATTTTAACTCGCCTTTAAAATGGAGCTGAAATTAATATGGACCCGAGGGCTGCCCCTGGCCCCATGGTGCCTCCCATAGCCAAGCGGGGCATTTCTGCTTGGTCCCCGGGAGGCGCGGCCGGGGTGGAGGGTGCCCAGTGACCGGGCCTCGACCTGCAGCGGGTGCAGCTCTCAGCGGCCAGCTCCCCACGACCTGTCTGTCGAGGGCTCCGGATGGGCATAGCCAGCCCCGCATCCCTCATGGGTTCTGCAGCACGCACAGGGCCTTCCTCCTTCCGTCCTTCTCCACGATGGGGCCCGGGCAACATTGAGAGCTTTCAGGGAGCATCTGGGTGGGGCACAGCACCCAGTAGCCCTCAGTAGGGCCTGCGGCTCTTCGGCCTCCGATGGTTGTTCCACACCTTTGCCCCCCGAGCATGGACCCCAGTGGCCACAGAGGCGTTTGGCCACACAGACACGTGAGGAGCTTGCCTGCCCTCCTTTGCTCAAGTCCGGGTGTGGGAGCCCAGGACTAGAGACATGAGAGGGGATGAAGAAGCCCAAGCCTGGTTAGAGAGAAGAGCGAAACAGCCTTGGCCACACAGCTGGCTGCCCAGGTTGGCACCTCGGTGGTCACATCACTTGCAGAATGCGCCATCATATGCAGTGTGAGCTCCCAAGTCTATGAGCATGGCCCTTTGAGGCCAGCCCGGGGCCGGAGGGAGCCCTGGCTGTCCAGACCCTCAGAACCACACCCTCTGCCTGAGGTGGGACCATGTAGGTCTACTCAGCCTCGACCACCCGAGTGCCAGCTCTGTGACTTATTTGGCATTTCTGTTGTTCTTGCTTCTTTGCTTTTCTGTGTAACTCTAGGGCAGACTGAAGAAGTGAGGAGGATTCTGGGGGAAGAACAGGGTCCCTTGGGCGGGTAGCAGGAGCCTCAAGAAACTATTCATCACCCGTGTAGGAAATGGGGTGCAGTGGGGGTGCGCTGCCTTGTATGAGGAGGCTTGGAGACGGCGTGCAGCCCGCCCGGTCCAGATGTCCAGCCCAGCAACTCCGTGGCAGGAGGAGAGAGGGCGGAAAGGGAAAAGGTAGGCAGACCGCCCCATGGTGCCTTTGAGGAGGTAGGCACTGGGGTATCTGGTTCCACCTTTGATCCCACAGCCTGGAGATCTTAGCTCACTCAGCTGGAGGGCCACCTCCTCTTCCAGGCCTTCTGGCCCCAGGCATCCTGGTTGGGACTTGAACCCCGCCTTCCAGCCTGCCCCGCCCAGGATCCTCAGGTCCCCACACCCTGGAAATGTTCAGGTGCCCTTGTGGTGGGGAGTCAAGGTCACTGTGCTCCAAACCCGGTTCCCCGGCCCAGCTGGTCAGCACTCCTGGACCAGCGGGGCTCTGAGCTAACAGCTTCACGATGACTTCAGTGCCATCACCTTTCTCTGACAGCAGAGGACTTGGATGAGAGCAGAGGCGCCTGGGAGCAGCTCTTCTCCCACGTTGGCCTGATACACAAATGAGTTGCCATTTCCAGGTGACAGCCCAGACCCTGCTCTTCCCACTCACTGGCCCAGGACCGTCCACTCTCCTGCAACTGCGCACAGCCCAGCCTTCTGTCCTGGGGGCCCAGGGCTGTGTGAGGCAGGGTGTTTTTGTAACTCAAGCTGATTTAACACTGCCTGTCAGAGCTGGTCCTAGAAGCAGCTTTTTTTTTGACCCTTACTTTAAGTCTGGAAGCCGACTAGGTATTGTGATCGTTTTTCTCTCTCTGTAATTGCCAAAGGGGAGGATATAAATTTTATCTTGTGAAGAACCACAGCCATTTGATTAGGAAAACTCATTGCTTCGAATTTTCTCATTTCCTGCTTAATGTCCACCTTCGTGTGGTGTGACAGCCTTGTGTCCAGCAAAAGGGAGACTGGGTGTCTGCTGGAGACATGGCTACGAGCCTGGAAAGCTCTGCTGACCGCCTCCCTGGCGGGTTCCTATGGCTAAGACATGCCAGGCTTGGAAGATAAGTCCTCAGGGTAGCATCTGTCATGAGGCAAGAACGTAGAGTCTCTGGCTGGTTGGAGGTGGGTCCAGTGTGGGACCCTGACTGGTGGGATGCGGCTGGCAGATCTCAGGCAAGCCCAGAGCCAGCCCCCCCCCCCCCCCCGCTCCCTGTTACCCTCCCCCCAGCCCATTTGGCATTTCCTGCACCAGTGGGGCTGCCAAGGAGCCAGGTGCCTGCCGTGAGGCCCTCACTTTGTGTGGGTGTTCCCCTTGGGGAGCGGATCAGGGGCCTTCAAACTCGAGAGGCAGGTGGAGGGCTCTTTAAGCTGGGGCTTCATGGGTCTGAATTAAGGCTTTTGTTTCTGCTTCCTCCCCCATTCAGATTTTGAACAAGAAAGCCTGCCCTGTGATTAGGCTAATCCCACAGTAGTTATACCTTCGCATGAAATGTTTGCACACCGAAGGGCACAGAGAGCAGAGTTGCCCAGAACACATGTAAAATTGAACCCTGGGGCTCCCGGGATACAGGGTGGTGACTTCCTGTGTGACTAGTGCTTCTGTGTCCGGGTCTCTTAATGTAGTGACAAGGCCAGTGTGTCCATCCCCCAGAGCTCCCTCGGGCCCTCTCTCCAGATCCTACAAGCTGGTCCTGACTTCTCCTGCTGCCAGCAGCCTGCCCTCCTATAGCTGGCAGGGCCGGCACTGGTCCCTGCACCTTGGCAGCTGGCCTCAGCCCCATTGTTCCCAGGCCCCTTTCCTGGCCATGGGTCCCTTCGGAGGCCAGAGGAACTTGTCTGCAGTTTCAGAGCTACCAGTAAAAACAAAACAGAGCTGCTGTCTTCTGGCCCTTCCTACCCCTGGTCCTTCCTACCCCTCGGAATCCAGAGGCACCAGTGTCTATCTGGTTTTGCTTTGGCACTTTCCTCCTTTAGCTCATTTGAAGAGAGTTCTCTGAGTTCTTGGATCCCACATTCTGCAAAGAATAATGATTATTTGATAAATTGGGGGCAGGGAGGGAGTGAAAACCAATACTATTGATCGCAGGGACAAGAAGAGACCCCAAATTACCTTCAAGAAAGCAGGACGCTTGCTCGTTTATGGGATTTCAGCTCTACCCATGCGACCCATGCAGTCAAGGACACCTGCATCTGAATGGCTGAGCTGGCCCTGGCCTTCTCCCAGGTGTGCCCTCTGCCAGTGACTCAGCTGCTGGCCTGAGAGGGGTGGGCACCCATGACTTTGAGGTGGGAGTGGGTGGCTGAGAGCACTTGAGGTGGCTCCATGGGAGGAGCTGGGGGCTCAGCACCTGCAGAGCCTCCTATCCTGCCTCCCTGTCTGGTTCCCCGCCCACATGGTGCAGGAGGCCTGGGAAGTACCTGGGGGCTGCAGAAATCAAGTGGTTTGCCAAAATCAGGAGACCACTTTTCTGCGTCCTCAGCAATGTGATACGAGGGCCTGGAGCTCTCCTGGATGCTGTAGCTGGCAGCCAGCTGGCTCCTGCTGAAGGGGCCACTCAGAGGCAGGAAGCCCCCAAGACAGGCAGAGACAGCCCCTTGTCCCACAGAGGGACTCCCTCAGTACCTGCACGATCTGGCCGTTGGCTGTCTAAGAGGCGTTCGGCCTGCCCTGTGGCCACCCCTGGAAGCAGGGAGCACGGGGCACTCCATGTTTCGCATGGATGCTTTTAGCCAACCTCGTCCTTGCATCAAAGGCGGGATGTTCAAAGCAGTCAAATCCTGCTTGTATTTTAAGTAACTCCTCATTTTGTATCTTAAAGAAAAGCTTATACCTCGCACCATATAAACGTTGAATACAGAAGAAGGTCACGTAATTTTGAAAACGTACTTACACAGAGGCATACATGCTCCACGTGTGCGTGGCTGTGAACACACGTGGACACACACGTCCACCCACGTGCCTATTTCTTAGGCATTGCCAGGCCCGTATGGGGCTGTGAAGGCATCTCTGTGCTCCTGGCCAGCTGTGGGGCCTGGTGTCCCTCTCTACTTTCTCACACTATGAGCTCTGTTCGCTCACCCCGACATACAACTCCAGCAGCATTCTGTCCCCAGCTCTGAGAGGAAGCCGTGTGCCAGTTGCTTCCCGCAGGGCGCCTACAGCAGTATTCCACGGGATATACTGCTTTTTGAAATGGAATTATATCATTAGTACCTGCCAGGATTAGTGCTGACATTGGGCTTATCCATCCTTACATCACCTCCTCTCGTTCAAAGGCTGAAGGGGTGATCTGACAAGCCCACCCACGCGTTGCCACCCGGGCTGGGAATTTTCATTCTGTTTTAGGTTCTGTGCACATGTGTGTATGTGTGCTTGTGTGCATGTGTGTTCATGCATGCAGAGTGGAACTGAATAACAGGAGAGGATTTATACCATCAGGGCATGTATTTTAAGTGACTCTTCTGGGTCCTGTGTCCCCCTCTGCCCCCAGGTACCCTCATCCTTGCTCAGGGGACTATCCTGGCCCTGCCCTGTGGGTGGTGGTCTAGACAGGCACATGTGGGCCTTCCAGCCTGGCCTTCCACAGTCCAGGAATGTCCCGGTCACAGCCAATGCTCTCCCAGAAGCCTCCCTACTGTCTCCTACCCCACCCCACCCCCATCCTGCAAAGCATGTGTGCTTCCATCCCGGCTGCCGAAGACCCAGAGGGGGGACCCCAGGGCAGAGTTTACATTAGGACAGAAGGAGAACCATTTCACTTCTTCTAATGGGATTTGTATTCACACGCCCATGGGCTCCATATCCATCCCCCTCCCAGGACCTTTCACAGACGTGTGTTGTTTGTCACTGACCACACACATCCTTCACCACCAGGCAATTTTCTGATTCAGCGACACCGTGTTTGTCATGTATTTCACAGTCGGAGCCCCTGGGAAGTGGGTTTTGTACGTTGGGACAACCTGTTTGAACAGTTAGCCTCAGCTGACTCATCAGCAGTGACGCATCAGCTGACCAGGCACCTTGCACGAAGCAGAAGGGCCCCGTCCCCACCGCGGAGGCCCTGGTCAGGGCAGCTGCTCGCGTGCCACGGTGGGCCACACTGGGGGCTCACCGCTCTCTCTGTGTCTGTTCCCCCAACAGGTTGGTGGTCGGGGCCAGCTGTATCCTTTGCTGGCATGCAGGTGACAGCCGGTCGGGCTCGCAGTCCCAAGAGTGGCAGCTCGGTTCCTACAGCCCCTCCCCCCAGCTCTGCCTTCCGGAAGGAGTGCAGGCTGCCGCCCGGAGCCAGCCACTTACAGGGCCACTCAGGGCAGATGACCTGTACTCAGGGGACAATTTAAGGCTGACCTTTGAGGCTAGGGCTTCCTGGAGGCGTTTCCTGAGCCACACACTGCGACGGCTGAGTCCATTGGGGCAGCTGAACACAGCCGTGAGGCAGGTGGTGCTCCCTGGAGGCAGCCCCATCCAGGCCCGTTCCTTCAGAGGGAGCAGTAACTCCAGAGAGGGTCAGGAGAGGAGCCACGGGAGGATCTGAGGTCAGGGGAGGGGATATCTGAGGGGAGATGAGAGCTGGGTCGGCTAGCTGGGAACATGGGTGGAAGGCTGCTGTTTCATGTCTTTCATGAAGGAGATTCTTCTGTTGCTACTTAGACCCCTTGGGGGTGGGCCTGGCCCCTAAGACTGACATTAAACTCCAGGGAGCCTGGACAGATGCCCCATGGAGGCAGAAGCCGCCTGGGCCCTAGGTGCCCACATTCTGTGGCTTCCGGAGTCCCCCCCGCCCCCCATGGACATGTGTTTGTGAGAAGCAGGTGTGGGAAGGGGGCTCTGTGGCTGGTGTTGGGAGCCCCCTCAGGCTGATTGGAGGTTGGTGGGGCAGCGGGTGGCTGGCTAGGGCACTGGGGGGTCTCGCCCCTTGGCTCTTGATGTCATGATCCATTAGCGTTCCTTAGCCTCCAGCAGATGTGGCCCTGGAGTGTGCTGGCTTCCTTACGGGGCTCGGACTGGACACCACCATCATGATAAGAAGCATCCCCCTCCGGGGCTTTGACCAGGTATGGCCACGTGTGCCCAGCTCCCGCCCTGTCCTCTCTCCTGGACAGGTGCAGGTGTGGGCTGGGAGTGAGGTCTCAGTCTTTAGAAACTGGCCTTCAGTTGAATGAGGAGATTGTTCCCAAAATATAAAACACCTACCAAGAGTGTGGAAGGAAGGCTGGCACATGGAACATATGGCAACTTCCCACTGGACCAAAGGGGGATGTTGCTGGGCACATCAGGCCAGCCTCACAGACCACAGGGTTGAATCAGCTCTTCTAGTCGTTCCATTAGTGCATCAGCGAACGCGCTGTTCTCTCTTTCTCTTGCTGAGCTCCTCTGGTGTCTTAATGGGGTGCCACCTTCCCAGGGGTAGCGCCAGGTTGGGAAGTGGGTGCTAGACTGGGGAGGCCCTGGGTGACCACCTCAGGAGATTGGCAGCCCCTGCCCACACTCCCTGTCACCTGCCGTGTATGGAAAAGCTGTAGTTTGTGAGGCAGGATGAGCACTGGGTGGCTCTGCTGGCCACCCCCCACCCCTCCCTGAGCACTCAGTGTCCGCACAGCCTCTGAGGCCCCGCCTGCCTGAGGGCCCACGTCCTGCCCGCTGTACCGGGCCACCTTGCAGGGTCCAAAGGGTGCCAATTGTCCTGATCCCCATCTGGGGCATAGACACCCCTGCTGACAGCAGAGGCTTGTCAGGAGCCATGTCAGGAGCTCATGGCTTGTTGTTTTTTCAAACTAAAAACTCTTCAAGGAAGAATTACCTGTTAAAAGCTAAGTCTAGAACTATCACCGTCAAAATATCAAAACGTGCTCCCACGTGCCTGAGAAGAAGGACAGCGCCCGTCCATCTGCAGTCTGGGCTCTCGGGCCTGGTGAGCTCTTGCAGAGGGAAGCAGTGGGTCTTCTGCGTCCGGCCCCCAGCCCGAGCCCACCTGGTGGATCCCTGGCCCTCTGCTTGTGGACTAAGTGCCTGCAACGGTGCCGCAGCATCCCCAGGAGGTCTCTGTGCCTCGGGCTGTGGGTAGAGTATGCCAGGCAGCAGACAGCAGCCACAGGAGGCTCTGCTGCGGGATGCAGAGAAGGACGAGGCCTGTGGAGCAGAGGAGCCTGTAGGAATGAGGGCTGCTCGGAGGCCTGGCCTTCCAGCCCAGGAAGAAGTTGGAGACCGACGAGACGGGGTGCCCTGGACACGGGGCATGGTCGTGAGGCCAGGTGACCCAGGCCCTGCCTCAGAGGAGGACGTGCAACCCCGTGGCAGACCTGGGGCCAGTGGTCTGGCCGTGTGGCTCAGTTGGGTCCAGCGGTTCCCCCCTCATTCTGTGACAAAGACTCCAGGCTTGTCAGACATCCAGAGGGACCAGCAGCCTGCACTTCTGTTCCCATGACCGGTGTGACAATCCTGAACAGATTAATAAATCTAAATGAGCAGACACCAGAGGGTTGAAACAGTGGCTTTTGTTTTCTCTTAAAAGAAAAAGCTGTGTCCAACTGGGGCTGGCGTGCATGAGTCCCCACAGTGGCCCAGGAGCCGGGGGGTGTGGAGCCTCTAGGCTGGGAGGAGGGAGCCCTCTGTGCAGGTGTCCCAGCCGCTCCCATCCCTGACCACACGTGCTACCTTGCATATCTTGGTGGGGAGCAGAGGGGCCTGCCTACCGTCCCAACTTCCCAGGGGGTGACAGCATTTGGCAGGGGTGGAGGGGTGGCAGGTGTGGGGCAAGTACCATCTGGGTCAGCCAGGCCAGGACCCCCAGGAGAAAGGGGTGCTTCTCTGTCATTGCTCTTAGCATTCATTCATCAGCATCTAGAGAAGAGCCCAAAGGTGAAGTGTGTCCTAACGGAAGGGCCCCAGGTCCTTGGATGAGGAGCTGGGGGAAGGGGGACATCAGATCTGTCCCGGTCTAGCCCTCAGCTCCACAGAGGACGAGGGGAGCCAGAGGGAGGGATGGACTGAGGCCACGTAGCAGAGGAGGAGGAGCACTGGGCCTTCTCCTTCGGAGGGACCTTTCTTGGGCTCCTCTAGGGCTTTTTCAGGCAGGCAGGAGGCCACGTCCTTTCTTCCCGTAGTCCTCAGGAGTGGACGTTTTCACTGCCGCCTGGGCCTCACAGCATGTTCTCTTGTGCTTTACAGCAAATGTCTTCCTTGGTCACGGAATACATGGCCTCTCAAGGCACCCGGTTCCTGAGAGGCTGTACCCCCTCAAGAGTGCGGAGGCTCCCAGATGGCCAGCTCCAGGTTACCTGGGAGAACCTCACCTCCGGCAAGGAGGACATGGGCACCTTCGACACTGTCCTGTGGGCCATAGGTAAGGGTGTGCCGAGCCACGTGGGAGCCACACACGGAGACCCGCAGCGCCGCCTCCCCTTCCTGCTGTCTCCAGGGCCCCCCTCGTTCTGCTGGCTTTCAGGTGGGCCAGTTGTCGCAGCACACCTCTTGGGCCATCATAACAGCCCGTGGGATTGTTTCCATTACCTCTGGCAGGTTGGTTTGAGCTCTGCAGGAGTAGATGTGTTATTGGCCTTGGTGTACGCCACACTTTGCAGATTTCCAGAGATGGCTCAGTGATGGGGCGCAAGCCTTGGGCCTTTCTCAGCCGCACATGGGCTGGCTGGCAGCTTGCCCACCAGGGGTTGCGTTCTCATCCTCCTGTTCTCTGCAAGGTGTGAGTCCAGCTTTTTGTGGGAGTGAAAGCCAAGCAGGCATGGCTGGACACAATTAGCCCATTGCTGGCCTTGCCAGGAATCCTCCCTCCCACGCTGGCTCCTCCCTGCACCCCAAGGGGCAGGATGGAGAGTGGGGATGCAGGGGGCTAGGAGCCTGCCCTGGACTGGTCTGAGGGAAGGGATGGAGCAAGGCAGGAAGAGCAGAGAGCTGAGATGCATGCCCATCGTGAGCCTACTTGTGGCTGGGGCACGGTGGCGCTGTGAGCGGGCTCTGGCCGCTGACAGGTTCTTGTTAGTGGGGGCGTGTGGAGCTGGGTGCAGCACACCTTCTCCAACATTGTGCCCACCTCGATACCTGTCTTCTAGGGTTGAAATCTCATCGTCCTAAGCCCCCTCTCTGCTTGCATGTTAGAAATAGGAGAAATCCAGGTCTTCCTTTCAGCATTTCTAGTTCCCTGGGTCTCTCTGGCTGAGCCTGGTCAGGTGTCCTCTCCCTGTGGACCTGGGCTCAGAACCTGTGTAGCTATGAGAATCATCATCTGCCTCCAGGTCAATTAATCGAATGTTTACTGAGTGCTCAGAGGGGTGTCATGTTGGCGTTTGTCAGGACCTGCAGTGAGGCTCCCAGGAGGAACAGAGCTGCATCTACAGAGCAGTGTACTTCTGAGAGGCCTCTCTGGTCTTCCTGAATTCTCAGGGGGCTTGGAAATCAGACGACGAAATAAATTCTAGAGGAGCCGGAGCTCTTCACTTGTGTGGGGTCAACACGAGAGGATTTCAGGAGCAAGGAAAATGCCTTGGAGTTGATTTCCTGCCTCTTGCCCAAAATTTAGTTAAGGACCATAAGAAATATTCTTGTTCAAATTGTAAAAGTAAATTTGAGTAGCTTTATTTTGAACACTGTGACAGATTGTGTAACTACTCAGATCCAGAAGCCGAAATTGACATTTATCTTAAACTCCATTCTAAAAGGCAAGGTGGTGAGCTTGTCCCCTCGCATCCGCACCCCCAGCCTCTTCCTTTGTCCCCCTGATATCACTTCAGGGTACCCACCACCCACACCCGTCCTCTTGCCATTGGACAGAGGCAAGGGCCTATACCCATATGCCATCAGCTCAGCCCACGCTGATGGCAGTGGCTCAGAGGGCAAGGGGCACAGCCCTTGGAAAGCCTCAAGGTCCTCCCAGCTTCCAGACAGGTCCCTGGTGGGCGACAAGCAGAGCCCCTGGCGCTCAGGCCTGCCCTCCCCGCCCCCCCCACCCCACAGGAGTCCATTTCATTTTCTGTATTTTCAAAAAGAGCATCCCCCAGACAGTCTGCCTGGCGTGATTGATGCTGGGGGTGGAAGCTTTTCACAGTCCTTGGCCTTTGACCTTGCTTCCCGAGGCGGCGCTGCGGTGGCTGGCGGTGGCGGCGGTTTCTGGCACGCCTTCTGGGGCTGTACGGGCATGTGCTGACTTTGCTGCTCGCTCCCGGGCCAGGTTTTGTAAACAATCAGGAGCCGCTTCCCAGTTCAACAACTGGGAATGTTTTCTGCTGGTTTACCCCGATAAGCCTTTAACCGAGCATTATTTCTGTTCGCAGTAAAGGATGATCTGATCCAGGAGGTTAAAATAAAACACCCAGGGGGCTGAAGGGCTGGCACAGCCAACAGCTCCCGGACCATAGGTCCTGCCCTAGTGGTGAGCTCCGTGTGCACGCAAGCTGGGCTTTGACGTGTGTTAAAAACCGGAGAGAAGGATGCCCCTCGTATCGGGAGGACACATACCCAAGGCTACAAGGAGCTTCCCTGAGGCTGGGCTGGCGCCTGGGTCCCCGCGGGTGAGGACAGTGTGCGAGGGGACGGTGACGTGGGCCTGCAGTCTGCAAGCCCAGGAGGACTCGAGCCTCTTCCTCGGCCCAGCCTTGATCCCCACGTGGTGGATTAAACACATTAGCAGTTAAAGCAGTTAATTGCTGTGCAGGGGGCCGGCTCATTGTTTGTCTCTGAATCACCCACCCACACCAGGTGTCTCAGATAATAGACTGGGAACTTGCAGCGAGGAGGATTTCCTGTCTGCAGATGTGCCGATTACGGTGCTGAGTGAAGACAGTCAGCCTGCACCCGCCGCGGGCTCCAGTTCACCCCATGCAGTTAACCAGTTGTGGCCTGAATCCTCAGCCATCGGGGGTGGGGGGCAGGGGCAGGACGGGGCGTCTGGTGGACACTCGCGGGTGGAAACCCTTCCGAGCCGGAGTGCGGCTGAGCTTTAGCTTCGACTTTGTTTTGGAGGCTCTCGGAGGGAAAACCGGCCGCTGGGACGCCGTGGCCCTCAGCAGCTCTAGCCTCTCGGAAGGTTTCCCGTCCCTCTTTCAAGGCCAGGGAGGTGGCTCTGGGGCGTCCCTCCCTGGGCCACAGGAGTCCTGCCACGGTCCAAAGGCCCAGACGGTGTCCCCATCTGGAGTGTTGGGGAGGGCTGTCCTGGCCTGCTCAGCAGTCCCCTTGCTCTGTTAGGGAGCAGGCATTTCCTCTACCTTGGACTTTGTCTTAGGGGAGTTGGTGTTGCCTACCTGTGTGGAAGACCCACAGGTAACCTCTGAGCCTCTAAAATGGTATAAAGAGGGGGAGCCTGGGTGGCTCAGTGGTTGAGCGTCTGCCTTCAGCTCCGGTCATGATCCTGGGGTCCTGGGATCGAGTCCCGCATTGGGCTCTCTGCGTGGAGCCTGCTTCTCCCTCTGCCTGTGTCTCTGCCTCTCTCTCTATGTCTCATGAATACATAAATAAATAAATCTTTAAAAACAAAATAGTATAAAGAGAGCCAGCAGGCACAGGGGGCCCAGCTTTAGAATTTTTTTTTAAGATTTTATTTATGTATTTGATAGAGAGCATGCACACATGCGTGGGAGAAGAGCAGAGGGAGAGGGACAAGTCGACTCTGCGCTGAGCGCAGAGCCCGACATGGGGCTCGATCCCATGACCCTGAGATCACGACCTGAGCTGAAATCAAGAGTCAGACAGTCAGCCAACTGAGTCACCCAAGCATCCCCACCCCGGCTTTCCAACTTTGAATCCAGCTACCACACTGAGGACCCCACCCCATGTTCAGTCCACCTACACAGAGTGTGCACATGGACCACACCAGCCAGCTGGTGGCACCCGTGGGGACAGTGAGGGGGCCTGTAGTGCCCAGGAGCGGAGTGCGTCTGCCAGGATGGGCTGCAGCCCGAGCCTCCCCCCTCTACCCTGAGGACTGCTTGCTCCAGTTTACAGGAGGCGCCTGGCACAGCTACATTCAGCTGATGTCTCCTCCATGCCGCAGACATGCCCCTTCAGGTCCCCCCGAGTGCCGAGTGCTGGGCTGCAGCTCTGGGGGCTACAGACCGAACAGAAGGGAGCCCCCAAGGTTGGGAATTTATAGGTGGGAGTGCTCTGAGTCCAGCCAGGAGGAGGGAACAGTCCAGGCCCTGGTGCCTCCGGACAGCCATGGCTGGCTCTGGGCTGCTGGGGAGGGGCTGGCTGAGCATGGGTGCCGCCGTGTTGAGAGAAGCCCAGTCCAAGGCCACCAGGCCTCTTCTTTGGGCCTGTATCTAGCTATGGCCATAGGAAACTGTGTGGGGCCAAGTTCTGTGCGTGAGCCTCTCATAGTCTAACACTTTTTTTTTTTTTTTTAGCACGGAGGTCAGGTTTGTGAAAGACTCAAATCTGCTTGTGTGTGTGGTTGTCTGGGAGGGGAAGAAGACATTCATGGAGCTCTTCCTGTAGGCACCTCCCATAGGCCGAGGGAAGTGGCTGGGCCTGAGGCCATCCACGGCCGTCCCCACCACACCACGTGGCCTTGATGGTGCACCATTGCGCCCAGCACCATTGGGTCCATGGCTGTCATTTATTTTGGCTTTGGGTCATGGTGGTGCTAACCCATCATGGAGGCCAGGCAAGGGCAGCAAGAGAGCAGCCCCTTGTGCTCCCAGACTGGCCCTCTGCCCTCTGCATGGGATGCCCTGCATGGCCAGGGGCCTGCGAGCTGGCTCCTGCCTGTGTCCAGGGTCGCCTCCGCCTCCACAGCCATCAGACCCAGGCCGGCCTACCTTCACGCTCGCAGTCTTTTTGCCAAGTCACCTTCAGTATGTATGTATGTATGTACTTATTTATTTATTAAAGATTTTATTTATTCATGAGAGACAGAGAGAGAGAGGCAGAGACGCAGGCAGAGGAAGGAGCAGAGCAGGCTCCATGCAGGGAGCCCGATGTGGGACTCAATCCCGGGACTCCAGGATCACGCCCTGAGCCGAAGGCAGATGCTCAACCGCTGAGCCACCCAGGTGTCCCACCTTCAGTATTTATGGTTAGAACTTGGTGGAAGCTAGTTGCTTTAAAAAAACAGAAGAAGAAGAGGAAGAGGAAGAGGAAGAGGAAGAAGAAGAAGAAGAAGAAAAGAAGAAGAAGAAGAAGAAGAAGAAGAAGAAGAAGAAGAAGAAGAAGAAGAAGAAGAAAAAGAAAGAAAGAAAGAAGAAAGAAGAAGGAGAAGAAGGAAAGCCTTAGTGAAATGCTTTTGGAGATAAATGGGCATCGTTTATATGCATTAATGTGCACTATTTAAATTTTGCAAGCACTACTGGGAGCAATCAACCAGCAGGAAGGTTATATTGATGTTTGTAATTATAG